GGCGAATCAGCTATGGCCGCAGCAGCCAGGGACCAATGGGCATGCTGTGCGTAAGTTCGAGTGGGCAGGAGTGCCCTATGGACGGGCGCATGGTGGTGCAGAGCAAGATGACTAGCAGCGGCTTTGGGCAGGGATGGTGGGGGCTTTTGGCAGCGGGGGGGGAGGGCGGCAGGGCAGTTGGCACCCTGGTCGGAGCTCCGCCCTAGGCCAGAGACTAGCTGAGAAAGAGGAGGGAGCCAGCCCTGGGCAGTCCCGCGGGGTTTTCAAGGCAAGAGATGTTCAGAGGTGGTTTGCCATGGCCTTCGTCTGTGTAGCAACCCTGGTATTTCTTGGTGGTCCAAATAGTGACCAGGGCTAACCCTGCTTACCGTCTGAGATCTGACAAGATTGGGCTAGCCTGGGTTATCCAGTTCTACACACATAACTTTTTATTCCTTAACAATACCAACCACAGCTCAGTTGGCCAAACAATGCAAGAAGGAGGAGGAGGAGGAGGAGGAGATTGGATTTATACCCCTTGCCCTTCACTTCCCAAAGGAGTCTCAGAGCGGCTGACAAACTCCTTTCCTTTCTCTTCCCCTCCCAGCAACAGACACCCTGTGAGGTAGGTGGGGCTGAGAGAGCTCTTGACAGAAATGGCTCTTCCAAGAACAGCTCTTATCAGAACTACGGCTTGCCCAAGGCCATCCAGCCAGGTGCAAGTGGAGGACTGGGGAATCAAACCTGGTTCTCCCAGATTAGAGTCCACACACTTAACCACTACACCAAACTGGCAAAAGCAATGCAAGCGAATTTCCCCACCTTCGGTGAAGTTAGATTTAAACGCTTGAGATACCCAGAGAGCTGAATGACCAAAAGAAGAATTTACCCCATACTACAAAAAGCAAAAGCCACATTATACTTTTTATTAGAATTGTAAACAACACCACAAAATTGTACAGACTTTTGAGTTCTCCAAAACTTTTAATTTGGGATGGGCATTCACAATGCCTGCAACTATAGGCTGGGTAGAGTTGGTATCCAATTGCATCTTCAGCCTTCTGGAGAAAGGGGAATCCTCCAATCAGTAATATAAAATGAGTAGTTCAAATCTATCTTTAACACCAAATGGAGGACACAGGTTCAGTAAAAGGCCAGGAGCAGAGGAGAAAACATGGTAGTCATAGTAACAAAAGTGGACATTAATTTTAGATCATGCACTAGGTGAAGGATCAAATGAAAGTCAAACTGGACAATATTACCTACCAGAGGAAGAGAAGAAATCTATAAGTACAGCCTCTTCCCAAATTATCTTCCTCCAGTTGAGGAATCCCCCTCCTTGGCAGCTGATCACAGTATTTCCAAACAAACAGAAATTGTGGGTAGAGAATTTTTAAAAATGTATTCTCTTTTATTAGGGCCAACCAAACAGTTGGCTTCTGCATTAGCCAAATAACAATGGTAAGAGGGCAGGCATGAATACTGATGCCATAGGGCTCACCTGGTCCTGGCACCTTACCTTGCCAGCTCATAGCTGTTCACCCAGCCTCAAGTCCTACACCAGGGCGGCCTGGAATTCTTGATGTTGCTGGGTCACACCCCTCAGGACCTTTTCCTGGTGTTTGACCATCCACAAGCCAAATTGAGTTAAATAAATGGTAGTTGGCATAATTGGAGCAGATGCCACTGCTTCTACCCCAGGGTAGACTTAGCAATCTAGAGCCCACTCCTGGTTTGCCTGGAGTCCCTACATGGGCCACCAAGTTGTGGGAGTCAGGGGGTCCGTGGCTGCTTTCCCCTTCCTATCTGCCTCTGTGGTTTTCAGCTGAGATCTCAGGGCCAGCAAAGGCCTCAAATGATGCAGGGAGGAGGTGGAGGTGGTGGTGGTGGTGGTGGGTAACTGTGCCTTGTTTCCCCTTCTCTTCCCTGGCCTGCTATTTGGCCCCATATGTGGTTCAGGCTTAATCGCATGCTCACCCAACAGCTTGCCCAGACCTTCCACACCCCTTCCCTGTTTACCATTCCTATGGCTGTTCCCTGTTTACCATTCCTATGGCTGCCCTGACTGCATGCGTGTTGACACTGCCTGGCTACATCACTGATTGGTCCCTTTAAGGAGCTGCCAGCCTCTGGCAGCTCCTTAAAGGGACCAATCAGTGATGTGGCCAGGCAGTGTCGACACGCATGCAGTCAGGGCAGCCATAGGAATGGTGGGTAGCCTAAAGGCTGGGGGCTTGGCCACCTGCAATGACCCAGGTAAGTTTGGACAAAGAACTGCTTTCTGTCAGCAGAAAATTTAGTCTGAAACTGACTCGTTATCTAGGAATGTAGGTATATATTTTCTGCCCAGTCAGATTTCAACATTGAGAGGTATGTGAGATGCATACTTGGCAGCTGATTCTGCTTTTGCCTCCTGTACTCCAGACTGAAGAGATGAGTAGGGCTTTATTGATACCCTAATTGAGGGTACCTCATCTGCCTAGCAGTTTTCAGACAAGACCACCCTGGCCATGCTTTGTTTCCTCACAACTAACACGTTAAACGTGTGCACTGAGAAGGGCCAGGCTCCCGTGCTGGCTGGCATTGAGGTTAAATGCAACTCAGCCCCAAGTCCCTTTGCCAATTCCCTCTAATTGATCGAGCATGAGAAGTTGGCTTAGGCCAATTTATGTTCATCACTGAACGCTTCAGGGCACTTGACAATTTACACTCTTGGCCAAACCCCCACACTGTTCTTGCTATTAGAGGAGGCCAACCTAGCTTAATATTCCTTGCCCTTCTTGCTAGGGTGCCAGTCTCCAGATAGGGCCCGGAGATCTCCCAGAATTACAATGGATCCCCGGACTAGAGATCAGTTCCCCTGGAGAAAATGGCAGTTTTGGAGGGCGGACTCTGTGGCCCTTCTGCCTCACCGAGGCCCATCTCTGCCTTCCCCAGGCTCCACCAACAAATCTGCAGGAATTTTTCAATCCAGAGTTGGGAATCCTACTTCCTACTGACAATAAATCACACAGGCCCAGCAGAGGCCCAGTCACACACACACGTAGTAAAGATCAGCTAGGAACATGTCACATCCCTCTATGGTTAAAGAATGCCTCCTTCCTGTAGATGCCGTAATGACAATTGGATGCACAAGTGGGGAGTGTGCCCTTCCTTCCTTCCTCACCATGAAGGTGCCAGACCAGGGATCACTCTGCCTAACCACAGGAAAGGCTCTTACTCTCCAGAAAACTGTCCTAAAGTTTGACTGAAATTGTTCTCACCAAGATGCAGCTTGATGGTGTTGACCAGCCCACAAGTGCCAGCACAGGAAAGACAGCAGACTCCATCTCATTTCCTGTCTTTCAAACCATTCCAGCCCTAAGTGTAGAAGCCTCTAAAACAAAAGGGAGGACAGCCCCTAGACAGGTCACCTCAACACGTGCTCGGATCTAGCCAGTTGCTGTCCAGAAAAAAAACATAATAGTCCCAGTGATGTACATCTAAGCAAAAATGTGCCAACACCCTCTTAAATCCAAAGAAACATGTCAAACTGCATGAACAATACAAAAATTCGCATGCTAAAGTTTATCTAGGTATCTGTTACAGTGTAAGTGCAAAACTGAGAAGGGATTTAAGGATAAAATGCTATCCAAGCCAATTTGCAAAACATGACTGCTTGTTTACATGCATATATGAAATTCAACACAACAGGTAAATTGTATATATAGAGAATGGGAATTGGAAAGAAAGATCAAGTTGCCGGGACACCTGACAATTTAGTGAAATGCCCACAGAATCCAAAAGCGAGTAATGTGCCAGAAAGCCTTCAAGTCTTGCCCCCAGCAAAAGTAAAAGCCATCAAAATATATGAGCTCTGATTCATAACAAAGATTGGGGGAAACGTGTGATTTAGTTACAAAACCCCCCCAGTATGGAATGGTTTAGTGAAAATGAATGCTTTTCAGTGAGGAAAAAAATATGCATATTACCAGTCAGCAGACATTCCTAGAAACTAGACTTCAGTTAAGAATAGCTATTGCTTTCTTGAGGCTGCATGGAAACAGCAACTATGACTATCCTTGATAAAATATGGGACTAGTACAAACTATGAGGTGTTTGAAATTCAGTGGAGCGGAATGTATATCTAACACCAGCATCCACTGAAGTTTGTTGCTTGCAACATGGCAATTCAGATTATGGCAATATTTTCCATCACTAATTTTGTGCCTGTTTACATGGAATTAAATCTAACTAAATTCACTGGGAGAAGTTCCAAGTAAGTATTCACAGGATTGCATTCTTAACCCTTTTCAAGCCATCTCCTCCTTTTCCAGTTTTCTTAAGAGTGTAAACCCTTTTCAGCCATTATATCTGTGGGTACTCCTACCTCACATACTTGGAGAGCATGTTATGTGCGATCCTCTCTATATGTACGATCACCATTTTCTATTGATAGGGTACAATGTGTAATGTTTCCAGCTTCATTAGCGTGATCAGCAAATCAGATCTGTTGCAGGCACGTATTTGCATGTACCAAAGCTGGAAAATATACGTATTGCCTATTGACACAAAATGGTATCAGAGTATCACATGTAGTGCACTCTTCCAGTAGGTAAGGTAGGAACACCAAAAATATAATGACCAAAAAGCATGAAAATCCTTAGGAAGATCAAACAAAGAGTTTGTTGAAGCAAGCGTGACAATAGGCTTTGTCATTTTGCTCCTGAAAGATGCCTTTGTGCAGTTGGGTAAGGCAAAAGGCACAAACAAAGTGCTCTGGGTGAAACCTGTGCCCCATGGCACTGACACAACGCCCAACAATGGGCTTCCCACATCCATGGCACACTGTCCCCTGATGATGGTGAAAGTGAAGCTCACAGTAGGGCCACCCATCTAATTCAAAGAAGGCACCATTGGAGAAGCTGCAGAGACAGTCCTGAAAGGAAAGAAAGACAGCATTCAGGGCAGTGAACTATTCCTGTGGCCCTACTTGTTTGTTGTTGTTTTTGCTGTCAAATCACAAGCTGACATGACAACCCAGCAGGGTTTCCAAGGCAAGAGATGTTCAGAGGTGGTTTGCCTTTACCTGCCTCTGCATCATGACCCTGGCATTCCTTGGTAGTCTCCCATCCAAACACTAGCCAGGGTCGGCCCTGCTTAGCTTCCAAGATCTGATGAGATCGGGCTGGGCAGGGCAGGGCAGGGCAGGGCCTTACTTATTAACCAGTAATTCAGCACACTGTGCTGGCTCAGGATGGCCAGTCAGCTGCTGCTGCTTGAAAGAGGATCTGATCTATTTTTAAATGGAATATAAAATTAAATTAAAATTGTGTTTCAAAACTTTGCATTTAAATTCCTGAAAATGAAACCTTTTTCTAAAAAGCCCTAAATCTTGAATTTTAAAGTGAAAATATGCATCACAGGGTTGTTGTGAGGATGAAATGGAAGAGGACAGAGTGATGCTACAAAGCTGTTTTCAGGCTCCATTGGGGAGAAAAGTGGGGTATAAATACCTAAATACATACTGCTTCCAATTTTGAGATGAAGCTACAAATCTAGCAGTTCAGATTGGATTACTAAATATTATACCCACCATTTGGCTTTTTGGAATCCAATAATTTGTTTTTTAAAATGGGGGCTTTGCAATCAAAAATTTTAAAACATTAACTGTTTTTTTGGGGGGGGGAAGTATATGTTTAAACTGCTTGCAAGACCCTATGTTGGATTACAATTACTTTTTCTGGAATGATATAAGCATCTTTACCTCTGAAAGTCTGTGTTGTCGATTATAATACTTGGTTATTCCCTTGAATTTACTTTGAATTTATGGATCCCCCCCCCCCAGTTTTGGTTCTATTAGGATTTTTTGAAACCTTCTAATTGGATTACAAATAATTATTGCTATCTGGATTACAAATTAAGGTGACTGTGGCTTTTTGCTGTTTAGAGAAGAAGAAAGAAGATCAACTTAAAAATTATTTGGAAAACATTTGACTTTTGTTTTTAAACATCATTTCTGCAAAATATAAACTAGAAAGTCTGTGACTTTCTCTCTGTGTACTGTTATTACTAAAAGATTACTGTGTTCCAATTGTACTGTAAACAGTTGATAAGCCTTTTTGAAACTCTGGGAAAGTTCTTGGTTTCAGCATTGGGATAAAAAAATATTGTTATGGAAACATAGATAACTGCTTGAGTTTACAGGTGTTCTCTGTAATAGGAATTGACATGACTAGTAGAACAGAGCAAAAAAAGATATTTCCAAGTACTTCCCCAGGAATAACCAAATCGGTGAGTGCCAGTCTGGCACAAATATCCTTAAAAGACTTACAAACCTTAATTCAAGAATCAGTGGCACCATCTGTTAAATCAGAAGTCAAAGCAGCTGTGCAAGAAACAGTATCTGCAGTTGTAGAACCAATGCAGACTAAATTGGACTCCTTAATGCAGATAATGACAATTCAAAGGGGAGAAATGCAGAAACAACATCAAGAAAATCAGCATGATATTACTGATCTAAAAAAGACAACAAATAAAGTGGAAGAAAAATCAGAAAAGATGGAACTTAAACTGCAAGATGTAAATTCCAGACAGAGCTCCATGGAAGAGCCTCATGTGAAGTTAGAAATGGACAAAGCAGCTTATATAACTGAAAGCAAAGATGAACATGTGAAAACTCAGATGGCACAGATCTTAGCTAAATATATGGGCACAGAAAATATAGATGAAGTCTAAGCAATTGATGTGGTTTACAGAATGAATTCTGCATACGCAAAAAGAAATAATCTTCCTGGAGAAGTTCATGTAAGATTCCACAAAAAAAACTTTAAGAGATGAAATCCTCAAATTTGCAAGTGAAACTCCACTCTAAATAGAAGACACAGAAATAAAAGTTTTAAAAGAAATCCCATGGAGAGTGATAGAGAAAAGAATATATGGAACTTACAACAGTTCTGAGAAATAATGAAATTCCATATAGATGGCTACTTCTACTTCTACTTTTACTTACAAAGATAAAAGATACAGAATCAATTCAACTTTCAAAGCAGAAGATTTTATCAAAACATATGGAGAAGATCTGAAAACAGAAGACCCACAGAACACAGAAGAGGATAGCCAAGATTTACAAGGAGCATCAGGGACAACAAAAAAGACCAGAAAAACTGTAAAGGTTACAACATCCCAAATAGTCACAAGACTTAAACTAAGCACAAAGAAGGTACCAAATCATGACTGCAAGATGGATAAAAGAGAAGATAATCTCAATAAATGTTAATAGATTGAATGCACCTCCAAAAACAAGACAGATATTTCAACAACTGAAAAAAATGCAACTAGACATCATATGTCTACAAGAGACTCATATAAAATATTCCGATCAAAATCTTTTGAAAATTAAAAAATTTGGAAAAGTATTTATCTCTTTAGATAAGGAAAAGAAAAAAAGATGTGTAGTAACATATGTGAAAGAACATTTACATCCGGAGCTGGTATACAGCTCAGAAGATGGAAGACTCCTGATAATTCAAATACAAAGACGAGGTAAAACAACCTTGATTGTAAATATATATGCACCCAACCAACATCAAGAAAATATTTATAAACTCCTGCAAGAACTTATCTCTAAACAAAATGTTGAGGAAATCTGTCTGATTGAAGATTACAATGCTGTATTTGATAGACTTCTAGACAGAAGTGGCACTATTACCAGCAACTTTCGTAGATCACAATCCTGTGATGGTTATACTACAAGATATATAAAAAAACAGATGGTCTTTAAATACATTGCTATTGAAGAATGGAAAATTTATAACAGAGACTAAAAAATAATTTCAAATGTTTTTCAAACAAAATATCCAGACAGATATTTCCATTAGAGTGCTGTGGGATGCATTTAAGGCTTACGCCAGAGAAGCTGCACATATTAAAAAATAAAAGACAGGAAAATTTATACAAATTAAGGAACAAAACAAAAAAGAAGAAGAGAAGATGAAACAAGATCCCTTAGCTGAAGAACTAAGAATGAAACTAAAGTTATTACAACACCAAATGAACCACTTGTTAACACAAGAGATAGCCAAAAAAATTATGTATACAAAACAAAACTATTTTGAAAATGCTAACAAACCGACTAGATGGTTAGCATACAAACTACGGAAAGAAAAAGGGAATATAAAAATTTTAAGAAATGAAGGGGAAGAAAAAAATATACCTAAAGACTTGAAAAAGGTTATCGAAACTTTTTATGAGAAGTTATACCAAAAAAGAGAAGCCATAGGTGAAGAAGTTAAAGATTTTTTAAAATATGTAACTTGAAGGAATTTACTGAAGAACAAAGGAAACATTTAAATGATCCAATCACTTTCTCTGAATTAAAAGAAGCACTAAAAAAGCAAAAAAACAACTACAAAAAACAAAAGACCCCAGGTCCTGATGGCCTTCCGGCAGAATTTTACCATGTCTTTGAAGATCAGCTGATAATACCTTTAAAACATGTAATTCAAAATATATTAATTGAAGGTAGAATACCAGAAACTTGGAATGAAGCCCTAATAACCCTGAAATGCAAACAAAACACAGATGAGAAAGAAATCAAAAACTACAGACTAATTTTGTTATTAAATGTGGATTACAAAATTTATGCCTCTATTTTGGCCGCAAGACTGAAAAGAGTATTGACACAAATAATCCATCAAGATCAAGCAGGCTTCCTACCAAAAAGACAACTTAGAAATAATGTAAAAACTATATTAAATGTACTTGAATATTTTGAACTACATCCTGAAAAACAGATGGCCCTGATTTTCCTAGATGCCGAAAAAGCTGTAGATAATGTCAGCTGGAACGTTATCTGTTGGAACAATTATTAATTTCACAATACGGCAAAGACTTTTTTACAGTGGTTAACACAATCTATACAAAACAACAAGCAGAAGTCATTGTCAATGGAGATTTATCACAAAATATTGAGATATAGAAAGGAACTAGACAAGGATGTCCACTTTCACCATTATTATTTATATTTGTGCTTGAAATATTGAATGATATGATTAGAGAAGATACCTACATTAAGGGTCTTAAAATAAGAGGAGAAGAATATAAATTGCAAGCATTTGTGGATGACCTGGTTTTTATTTTAGAAAACCCATTTGACTCTATTACACAATTATTAAAAGTTTTGTAGGAATATGGTCAGGTGGCAGGACTGAAAATTAATTTCAACAAAACAAAGATGTTAACGAAAAATACGACTAAGCTGCAAATTCAACAGTTACAGGAAATATCAGCTTTAGAAGTAAAAAAAAGTGAAATATTTAGGTATAAATATAACAAACAGATGCAGTTCCTTGCTGAAGGACAACGACTTGGAACTCATAGTGGACATTAAAAAGACTTGGAAAAATGGAAAAATTTATAAGTATCCCTGATGGGAAGAATAGCTACAGTAAAGACAAATATTTTACCAAGATTGATATTCTTCTATTCTGAAGGCGTCACAAGATGCAAAAGAAAGAGCTGGATTTGCATTGTCAGATTGGATGTTATACTATAAAGCATCATCACTGATATGGTTAAAGGAATGGATTACATTAGAAAATACCAGACTACTAACATTAGGAGGACATGAATTATTATTAGGATGGCATGCGTTTATTTGCTATGGAAAAGCCAATACTCATAAATATTTTAAACAACATTTTATCAGAAGATCCTTATTGAAGATATGGGAAGAAGTTAAAAGACTGTTTTATACCAGAATACCAAAATGGGTTTCACCTTTAGAAGCATCTACAACCCCAAATTTATTTCAAAAAAAGGTAATGTTAAGATATGAAGATCTGTTGGACAACAAAAATGAACTAAAACCAATAGAAAATCTTAAAGTACAAGAATCCAGCTTAAGTTGGTG